CGGGCAGCCTCCTCACCACAAGGGCCCGTTTGTCCTGACTTCCCTGGCCCCGAAGCCCCGAGCAACCAGGCTCTGCTGGGCACAGGGTCGTGTTTGTGGGCTCAGCCCCCTCCCCACAGCCTCAGCGGGCCCCTGCTATGCTTTGCGGAGGGGGCTTCTTAGCCTGGTCCAAACACACCTGAGCAACCTCTGCTTACCCGATAAGCAGAGACCCACGCCCCACTCGACGGCCTGGAGCATGCAAATTCAGTAATGAGAAAAAAACCAGGTCGGACCAGAGCTGAGCCGACAAGTGGACTTGATGGCCCAGATGGTGCCTCTCGCTTCCAAGTTCCCGGACTCGAAAATACGCAGGGTTTGGGGCCAGAGTTCCTTGTGGGAAGATCACCAGGAAAGCTTCCTGGAGGAGGTGGTGAGGCTGGAGAGGAGGCTGAGGGACAGCAAGGAGGAAGAGCATGGCCCTCTCTGCCAACCTGCCATTGAAGTGCTTTCCAGAACCGGGGCGGGGGAAGGGGGAAGGCAGAAGCAGGAGGTGAGCCGGGCAGGGGGTTGGGGCAGGAGGCAGCAGCTTGGAGGTCCCCAGGAGCTGGCCAGCCCCAGGATGTCGGTGGGAGGGAGGCGGGAACATAAACTCATGCCACAGTCGGTGAATTGTTTTGACGTCTTTACCGCGTGTTACTTTCTCAGCTCACCTGCCCTATTTAAAAGTTGCAGCACCCCTGACCCCCCATTCACAGGGCCTGTCCTAAGTGCTTCTAGCCAATATTTCATTGACCCCGGGCAGGCTTTTGGAGGCAGAGGTCATCCCAGGCTCGGGCCAGAACGAGGCTCAGTGGCAGAAGTCGCAGGCTGGGGTTTGAGCCCAGAGCCCCAGCTCGTAGCTGCCACTTTAATCCTTAAAATTGGACATTGGGTTCCTTGGGAGCTGGGAGCTGGTCATGGGGGCAGGGAGCTGGCCTCGTCTGCCATGGGAGGGGGCTGCTGGGCACGAAGCCAGCAGGAGCGGCTGGGGCAGGGCTGGGATTCTCGGATCCTCTGCTTCTTGGCAACCCATGTGACTCAACGGGCTGGTAAAAGGGGCCGGCGGGCAGGCAGCCAGCACAGGGGAGCCCTCAGGAGGGTGAGTCAGCTGCTGACCCTGGGTTACTGTCCTGCCTGGGGCGGGGCCGAACCTCAGCTGCCAAAATAAGCACACATACCCCCCCTTTGCCTTTCTTTCTGTCTCCCAGGTCTCCCCAGCAGGTGCTTCCTGTGACTCTGCCGTTCCTGGGAGTCCCCAGGTCCCCCCAGCCTGGAGCAGGGCTCAAGGCCTCCTGCTTTCGTTGTGTGACCTTCCATAAGTCACTCTGGGGCTCTGGCCCCCTTCGGGCCTCCTGTAAAGCAGCGGCCTCTGACCACAGAAGGGCCCCCTGGGGATAGGATCACCCTGGGGTCTTGTTGTAGGAAGCTGGGGGTGGCTGCGTGGCTTTGGGTGAGTTCGGTGCCCTCTCCGAGCTCACCTGCAGACCTGCCTCATACATCGTGACAGGTAAATGATGTTCACACTGGCACATCCCTGACCCCTGGAAACACTGGGGAGGTGTTGACTCTGGCTTAGGCGCCGGGCCGGTGGGGAGGGCAAACGGGCGGGTTGGAAGTCAGAATCCCAGGCTGGGCCTCGTGCAGGGGACGGAGCACTGGCCCGCGGGCAGGGACGTGGCAGCCCCACATCTGCCCGTGCCACTGGGAACGAATCCGCTCGCGCTCTTGACGGCGGTGCAGACTGGAGGGGAGCACGTTGCCCCGAGGGCCGAGATGCCTGGGCGTGTGGCTCGCCTTGGCCTTGACTGCTGTGCAGCCCCGGGCGAGTTGTTTGCCCTCTCTGGGCCTCGATCTTGTGTTTTACGACAGAGATCATTACTGTGGCTTCACCCGCTTCGCGGATGCTGCGTGGTAAAGTGCTTTGTCCCATCACAGAAGGCCAAAGGCAGGGCTCTGGGGGAGCGGGGCGTCAGGAGCTGCTCCCGCCTCCGAGGCTTCTAAGCGGGGTGAGCACTGGCCTTTGGGCCGCAGAGTGGCGCATGTTTGCGGTGCCCTGGTCCCTGGGAGTCTCTCAGCGCTGCAGGAGGGGAGGCCAGGTGCAGCAGCACGCTGGACCCAAGCCGTCGTCTTGGCTTGCGGGCTGGGTCACTTGTGCGCACAACTGCAGCGTCACCCCACCTAACAGAGCCTGGCCGGCAGGGGCCGTGTTGAGTGACTGGGTCTTAGGTTTCCAGAAACGGGGGATGGGGGAAGCTGGGTGGCCCCCCCGGCCCCCCGCCGGACCCCGAGTCAGGTCAGGAGGCTGCAGGGAAGAGGAGCAGCAGCTGGGCGAGGCCACTCCTGTCTGCGTCCTGTCCAGGACGTAGTGCTGAGTAAACAGCTTCGAGGGGAGTCACCGCTCCGGCTCTGAGTCACAGCTCCTAGCGACAGCCACGCAGTGTTTATCAACAACATGCTTCACCACCGCCAGGGCCTGCCCCCAGGAGCCTGGAAAGGGGGAGAGGCCCCCCCCAGGCTCTCTCCCCCACAGAGGGCCTGAGGCCCGGCCGTGGGGAGCCTTGTCGCACATCTGTGCACACACGTGTGGCTGAGCCGGGTTTTGTAAGTCTGGGCTGGCGTGCGGCCGGCCGGGTGCCACATCCCACGGCGCAGAGGGACCGCTGGCAGGGCCCGTAACCTCGGTGTCCTGAGGCAAGGGAGAGGATGGTGGTACCATCGGGTGTGACAGTGGACAGGGCCGGCGTGGGTGCTCCGAGGTGCCGTGGCTGCACAGAGCTGGGTGCACAGGACGTCCTCCATAGGCCCAGCCCAGGAAGGTGTCATGGTAGTGGGGGTGCAGGTGGAGTGCCCCTAACTGTCCCCAGCCCCCAGAGCCCTGGCTGTCGGTGGCCAGTCTGGTCTTCGTTCCAGGCGGTGACAGGGATACAGTGCCCCACGTGGTGACACCAGGCCAGCAGAGAACAAAGACGCCTCTGGTCTCCCCTACCGCGGGAGGGAGGAGGGATGGGTGTACCCCGCCCCCCGAGACCCTGCCTCCTCGGGGCTCCCGCAGTACTAGCCGGCAGCTGGTCGTCCTGCCTCCTGGCTGTGGCTCAGGCCCACTCCCCAGGGCCGGCCAGCTCTGAGCAGGCTGTGGAAGGGAGAGCCCCAACTGGGGCCCTAAGACAGGCCTGTGCTGGAGGCTGGGGCAGGGAAATGTGGGGGTGACAGGCTGGGAGGCTGGGAGAAGAGCACAGGGAGCCTTGTGTGGGCCCAGGAGTCATGGAAGGGAGGTGTGGCGCGTTGCTCCGGGCCTGGTCCCTGGTTCCCCATGGGTCCCTGTGCCCCCCACCCTCAAACACATTCACGCAGTTGGACACGCTGTCCAGTCCGCTGGCCCACTGACCCCCTCTGCAGCCCTGGGCCCAGATTCCCACCTTGAGATGGGGAGGCCACAAGCCACAGCTCAGGGAAGGCCCCCTCCACATCTTCTAATCCCCCCAAAGGCCCAGGAGAGCTTCCTGGGACGTGAACAGAGCAGCCGGACGGCAGCACAGGGGTGAGAAGCCAGGTTGGGGACAGCCCGGGCACCCTGGGCTGTCCCCCTCCTCCGAGCTATGCTGAGCCCCGCCTCACCCAGGCCCTGCCGGAGTCTGTACGAGATCGAGCCCTGAGGCACCCGTGCCGCCCTGGTGGCCTCCCTGCATGGGGACCCCGGTTGCCTTGCAATGTCCACTGAGGTCCCATTGCAGAGCCCGTGCTGAGCACCAGACAGACCCCCAGCTGCCATCTGGAGCTTGTTCTTGGGGACAGAGCGAGCTACAGCGCTCCTGGCGAAGGGGCAGTACCCGCCAGCACTCATGGAATGTTCATGTGTGCCAGGCACTGGGACAGGCACGTGAGTGTGGGACACGATCAGAGTGCACGTCCCATGAGTGCTGAGTTCCTGCCGAATCCGTTCACGCCCATGCGCCCATTTCACATACGCAGAAACTGAGGCCCAGAGGCGCTTGATCGCTGGCCCAGGGTCCCAGAGCTCGTTGATTCAGAGTCTGGTCACCTCTGCTGTGTCTCCAAGGTCAGGGCTCAGTGTCACCGTGCACAGCAGGCTGCGGTGGCTGGGGGTGAGGGGACTTTTGTGTTTGACCACCTCTGTGCTCCCCCCTCGCCCCTCCCTCTGTAACGGGTCAGGAAACAGCCTCAGCGAGAAGAGGAACCTGCAGGTCCCTCAGGGCACCAGGTCTCTGCTCCTGGGCTCTGAGCTGCCTGCTCAGCCGTGCGCCCTGCACCCCACAAAGCCACCGGAAGAGGATGTGGAACGCTCGGGGGGGGAGCCAGAGCGAGAGCTGGCAGGGCTCGGTGTCGGGGTGGCATGCGGGGCCCCGGCCACCCCGCCAGGGCCTGGGGGCCTGATGTGCCTGCAGGCTGACCCCGGAGCCCCTGCCGGTCCCCTTTTCCTCCCGACTCCCGTCGTCCTGCATGCCCAGCCCGCCGCCCTCCAGGGCCCCGGGAAGGTAAGGAGACGGCCCAGGCCCTCGGCCTCCGTGTTTAGGCATCCGGGCCCTGAATCCGATGGGAGGGCACCTGTGGACTCTGCAGAGCTGGGCACAGACACGGGTCCTGGGTCGTTGCTGCGAGGTCCTGGGCAGGTCCCCGCCCCACTCCCCCCGCCGGGCCTCAGGCTTCCGTTTGTGAGATGGGTGTCGGATTCGCTCCACGGTTTCCAGCGTCTGCTTTGCAGCAAAACGGAAGATGGAGACCAGGTTGTGAGTTTTTCTCAAAGCCGGTGCGGTCACTTAACGCCGGCCCCTCTTCTGGTTGGGGCGCCCTCCTAGTCACTTCTGGGGCCGTCTTTTCTGAGATGACAGTAATGGTGGTGACTGTTATTTCTTTACTACCCGACTTGGCAAAGTAAACAGCTGGCCACCCCAGGTAGGTCCCCAAGTTTAAAGCAAAATCCCGTGTCTTGGTGCCGGTGGGGGAAGGCGCAGGGAGGGCTGAGTGGCAGGTGGGCTTCTGGAGCCGGGCCGCGGCTTGCAGCAAGTGGGGTCTTCTGTGCTCCCCATATGGCGCCCGGCTGCGTTCACACCCACCTGGTGGTCCCTCTGGCTGGGCCCTGTTTTGACCTTGGTGACTTGGACCTGCCACCTTTCTGACTCTGGGTGGTGGACAGAGCCTCGCCATGTCGGAGGTGACAGCTGGGCCCACCCCCACGACAGCGGGTCTGAGCTGGAGCCACCAGCCCGGTTTAGGACCGAGTCCCATCCACACTTCCTTGGCTGGCCCGTGGCCTGGTACAAGCGGGAATTCCTGGCCATGCCCGTCATGGGAGCAGGTATGACAGCCATGCGGGTGACACCAGGTCTAGGCACTTGGGTGCTCGACTTCCCTGGGGCAGGTGGACAGATAGGCAGACGGGCAGAAGGCTTCTCGCGGAGCCTGGCTCCCACCAGCCATGGCCCGGGAAGCCAGGCCCGCCGCGCCCAGGGGCAGGAAGGGCTGGGTGTACCTCGCCTGTGTCTCCATGGTGACCGCCAGGCGGTGGGCCGTTGCCCACCGTCCTGCTCTCCGAAGCCCCACACCTTGGCCAGCACCTCTGCCAGCACTGGCCACCGAGGTGAGTTTCCAGGGCAACCGGTGCCTCCTTGGAGAGGCTGGGCAGGTCACAGCTATGGGAGGTGGTCCCCTCAGCCTCCTCTCCCGCCAGGACTGGTTGAAGGAGTTTTGCTGGAAGCCATCACAGGAGCGTCTCCGTCTGCCGTCCTGGGCGGGGTGCACCCGCCCCGCCGGCTTGTCTCGGCGGCTCCTGTCGTGTGGATGGTGCTTCTCAGATGACAAGGGGCTTTAGTGCTTTGCTTTATCACCCGCTCTTCTGAGAGCCTGGTGGTGGCATTATCGTCATCTCCATCCTCCTGATGGAGACACTGAGGCTACGGGGGTGCCGAGCAGGGACTTGAACACAAGCCCAGGCTCCAGATCCTGAGTTTCTTAAACCTACAGGAAAGAATGGTGCCCGGGGACAGGCAGGGCGTGGCGTCTCCCACCCTGACAGCGCCGTGGGGAGTCGCTGCCTTCCGATCGAGGCTTCTGCTTGGGGCCAGGTGTGGGGCTGAGACCTGGGGCCCGCCAGGCCATTGGTCCTTCCCTCAGCCGCGTGTGTTCCGTGCTCGCCAGCGTGGGCTCTGCGGGGGACACCGTCTCCCCTGCTCGCCCTGCGCCTCTCTGTTATTCTGTTTCGGGCTCAGTGGCAGAGACTGGAACCATTTGCGTCCCCTTCTGCTTCTCATCCTCTCCTGGCCTCCACCTCTGGACGTCACCTGTCACCTGTTAGATTTGTGGCCTTCGGAGGTGTCAGATGTCCGTGCCCCTGGTGTCAGGCACTGAGCACTCCGGGAGGAGGGGGCACAGTTGTCGGAGTGGCCGGTTCCCGTTCTGGGGATGGCGTTTAGCACAGTGACCCTGGATTGTGCGTTTGCTCTGAGCGCCAATGTCACCCATCGACATCTGCGGGTCAGAGGCCCCTCTCCGGGGAGGACAGCGAGGCCCCAAGGTGAGCCCATGGCTTCCTCGTCCTGGGCCGTTTCCATGGCTCCGGGTGTTGATGTGTCTTGTTGTGATTGTCTCATGAGGTCAGAGATTTGGGGTGATGATGAAGTCACATCCCACACCCAGGATGGTCTCCTGAGATCTGGAGGCTTCTTCTCCCGCCTCCTGACCTCCTCCGGGCTCTGCTTTCTGCCTTGGGGATCCCCTCCTTCCTGGGGGGAAGAGGCAGTTCCTAGAAACCCTGACCCAGAGGAAGTGGGCGGGGCCAGGCCCACCCACCATGCCGGGAGCTCCCACCCAGGCCTAGGTGCGTCACCTCCTTCCAAGGTGTGTGACCTCCCGCCAAGGTGTGTGCTCACCCGCCCACAGCAGGCCACCCCAGGACCCAGGCAGGTCTGGAACGGTGACGGTGACGTCGGTGTGGAGAAATGACGGAGGAGCCTGGCCAGGCCACACCCTCCCCGCGTCCTCCTGGGCTCTAAATATAGACCACAGAAGGCAGGCAGAGTGGCCGCCACCTGCTCACAGACAGGTGAAAGGGTTTCCGCCAAGGCCTGTCCCGAGTCTGGGCACTTGGCTGCTGGTCCTCCCCGGGCCACCAGCTCCCTCCGTGACCTTCGCCAAGCCCAGCATGGAGGAGGTAATGGCCAAGGCCTCTGGTCACCCAGACGTTGCCTTGAGTCCCGTCTCTCGCCGAGCGCTGTGTGCCTGGCAGACCCCTGTCCCCCACCAACGCCGCATCCTGGATCTGAACCTCGTTCCCTGGGGGGACCCAGCTATCACGTACCGGGCCAAGGGGTGGGTGGCGGGGGGAAGTGTGACCAGGCAGAGGACGCGGTGGCTGGAGGCCGCAGGGACTGCTACAGCTCTGTGCGGGCCCGGCTGGGCAGCGGTGCCAGCTAGCGCCTCACGGAGCAGTTGCTCTTCTGCCTGTCGACGTGCAGGGGCGGGGTGGGGGGAGCGCCCTCGAAGGGTCAAGACCTCTGTGTCAGGGGGACCCATGATGGGATGAAAGTGGGAGGGAAAGGGACACCGGAGGTTTGGCCTGAGCACACCTTTCCCTGAAAGCGGAGGTGGCTGCTCAGGGGGCCCCTCGGCCAGGGAGCGATGCCAGGCCCAGCCCGGACACGCCCTGGCTGGCGGGGACGGCTGCCCGTCAGCCCCGCCCCAGCCTCCTGGGGTGTGT